CTGCAGCAGCCATCTGCTGACGATCCGTTTCGTCACGATACGTCTCCAATAAATACGACGGTGGACAACCGTAGCCTTCTTCTGCTGGAATTCCAGCTGAAATACATCGATATGTCAGGTGTGAGAGACAAATATCCGGTCTCCAAGTACATGAACGGTCAATTGTAAGTCACACTCAACGAGTGAATTATTCACTCACGTAGTCAGCACTCCAATAAATTAATTTTCAAAAAACGTACAGCTGTCAGCAAGAGGAAAAGATTCCAAATCACTGTATGCGGCAGGGCGTTGCATCTGACGTTCCATAGCGGCCGCTCCCCGTCCCCGTTGGTTTCCGCGTTTCGACGATGATGAACCGCTGCCACCCCTTGACTTCCGGTTTTGAGCATTCACATGCCGACGATTCGGCTGTGTTGCATTCGAATGTGATGCATTTTTAGACCTTGAATTCGTTGATTCTCTCGAAATTGATCTAACGTTGGACCGAATTTCATGTTTGACAAAATTTCGAGACACACGAAACGACGACAAGTCACGTTAACGATGACTGTGTGATGGAAGAAAAGTTCTTATTAGAAATGTCAAATCTTATTTTAAAAAATAGCAGTTCAGTAATTCGTGAGAATATTATTATTAAACTATTAGTGGTTCGGACAAATTTGAGTTTCATCGATGAAAATGCTCACCTATCAGTTGAACGAGGTGACTTTTGACGATGCCGACTGGGCACATCCAGCGCGGCCGCCAGTTGACGCTCTTCATTTCCGCCCACATTCAATTGCTCTGAAAATAAAAAAAAAATTCACTCATTTCACCATCAACAAAATTTCTTTCAATTCGGTCATGTTTGACGCAAACCAATGATTATTGCGAAAAACGGCTTCTGCACAAAATTTCAGAACTATTCCTGAATGAATCAATGTTAATAAAGAATTCACATCGAACAGTCATTCATTAAAATTTTAACAACTCTAATAATACCCGTAGGTTTCAATCCAGTGTGAAACCTGAACCATCACCTTAACTGTAGTGTTATATTGGACACATAAATTGAAATATTTTGATAAAGAACTGACCTAACTGACTCTCCAATCCATTTGTGTAAACTTCTTGAGAGGGTTGTTCGGATGGAATGAACTCTTGAGGTTGTCGCTGTTGCTGGGTTGGAATGAACAACTGACCTAACTGACTCTCTAAACCATTTGCATAAACTTCCTGAGGTTGTTGTTCGGATGGAATGAACTCTTCAGGTTGTAGCTGTTGTTGCGGTGGAATGAACAAACCATCATTATTAATGTAGGGTACATTTCTGGAATAATTTCCGAACTGAAGTTCAAAGTTTGCATCACGTTCCGACACAGGCACCACGTTAGCGTTGAACATGTGAGGCGGAAGAAACTGAGGCGGCAAGTCGAATACAGCCCGAGGTGGTGTGTAAAACTCCGTATGTGGACCAACCAACGGAGTAGGATAGTAGNNNGAACGATGATGTTGTTGATTGAAGCCACCTGGAACTAAGCACGAATATATGCAAAATTTGTAAATTCAAATTCCGACAATCCAAAAATTTTACTCATTCCATCCAGTCAAAGATATGAAAATTTAGTGAAACTCGACAAGCTCGATTGTCATTGAAACGAAGACATTATCTGCAGTCAAATCATATGAGAAATTCGGTACGCATAGTAAAACATGCAAATTTCAAAGTTAAATCGAATGCAATCGACCAGTTGTTTGCAAAAATTCCCCCAATACATATATAAGAACTGAAACTACCTCGTTGGTTTCTTTCGGCACGTCTACGGTAACCGTTGTTTGCAGCGGCGCCTCGTTGAGATCCACCTCTACTACTTGGACTACGATTCACAGCCTCGGATGCGTCGGATTCATGAGGTGGAATCATTTGACTAGAGTCAGTCATCTCTAAACGAAACGTTTCTTCTTTTCACGGCTACACGTGCTTGCACAGACAAAAACCGTCCTGAAATTTTAATAAATGAGATGACAACCGGAACAGAGGAACAGAACAGAGAACCAGTAAAGCGTATCAGAGGAAGAGCTTCAAAACAAGCGAATAGTAACAACAAAATGATAGATATGAAATTTCTGAGTCGACTTAAAAGAAACTAGAATTGCACAATATGTTGAAATGCTGCACATTGTGGCGACTCGTTCAGTCGTACTCGAAGAAAGACAATTTAAAGCATTGAAGGTTTATGTGCGATTTC